AGGAAATAACAAATAACCTAAATCTTTAGAAGCTTTTGGGAACAAAACTATGCTAAGTGGAATTTGAATGAAATTTAAATCGTGGTGGAGCAATGCTTTTACAATTTCCAATGCATGTTTTCTATTCAATCATATGTGCGCAAACAATAATTCTAACCTCTACAAGTTTCTGTATTATACGCATAAAGAAGAGCGCACTGCAGCGATGGAACTGAAAGTCTGTTGCCCGGCAGATCTGAAAGAATATGAAACCTTGGAACCCATTTACTGTACGTTTTCCTAGTAATCTAAGTCCTGAATCAAATTCTCACACTAACAACTTACATCTCTTTCCATTTTATTAAGTTTCGAAAAATCAAATTCTTCGCACATCTCAGGATTAAGAGCGTACTGTGACTCAATTTTGGATGCTAAACGTACAGCAGCCACAGAAAGCACTTCGAGCTGGTCACGACAAATTTTGCGTTTCTGTAAAGATGCTAATATGTTTCTTTTTGAGGCCACTATGAGAATGATTCGAACCGATACAGTTACTGCAACTAGGTAAGCAGAAAGAGGAAGAACTTCTGTAGCCAGCCGATCGTTATAGAAAATTTCTATTAGGAAAAGATTAGTGATTGTAAACGCACGATAGCCACCTAGTGACAACCAATCTGTCGCTGTAGTAATCGGATAGTATGCCTGAAAACAGACTCAATTACTTTTTACAACGGATTCTGCTGATAATGCTGTAAAGTTAATTCCAGCGAATTTTTGGCTAAATGGCCAATACTTCCCTGTTTTGAAAACGCATACTTCACTATATCAACGAGAAAATCACGATGATCTGATTCAAGATCTATTTCCCTGAACAAGCCTATTCGATCATATTCCGCGGCCTCATCACTGTCCTCGCAGTCCGTCGTAATCTCACATTGAGACGATGGATCTAAAGCGAAGTATTAGAATCAATTGGCCAGGCTGATCTCTTGGTTTTGCGACTATAAAGAAAGTGCCAAAAATGGAAATTAGCCCTTCTATTTTGAGAAACTTAGCAAAAAAATTTTAAGCTGAAGGTAAAAACTTAGCCATCCGATTACATGCTGAGCGTCGCGCATTTAAGTTGAAACAATCGACTCATTTTTAGCAAAGCAGGGAAGATTCCCCTATTTTCAGCGGAAAATATTGGTCTCTTCCTCAGTTATGGATAATCCCTAACTCATCAAAGTGACTCGGTTCACTAGCTACTTGTC